ACAGAGCAAACAGCTTGCTTTCTTCTGTGGTCAGAACAGAAGAGATTGGGTTACTGCCCTCTGACTCAGGAAAGATGATCCAGCTCATCAAGTTCTAATGGATTTTGAAGTAATTTTCTTCTTTACATTAGGCAAAGTAGGTAAAGTCACATCACAACCACACAGTTACAGTACACAGTAAAGCACTAACTGAACCTAACAGCGTGAAATCTGGTGTTGCAAAAAAGCTTGAAAATTAGCATGAATGCTGCAATAACGTCACGCAGAGCACAGACACTCACAGCTTGCTTGTCCAGAACAGAGTAACAGCATTCTTGCTTCCTACCTATTGCTTTGATACACACATTGATGTAAGTGAACTGACCACTGAACATTTAGTGTGGATGAAGGTCTTCCCAAATCATAGCTACTGGTTTACTGGATTAGATTATTAAATATGGCTGCTTAAGAGATGTGCTATGGCATGAATTGGTGAGATTGCTAGTGCCCCAAATACTCTCAATTACTTTACAAAGAGCTATTTATGTCTGTTTTTAAATACACAAGACCAGTTTTTAAATACGTAAGACCTGAATATGTGCACATCTGCCTCAGTGGTACTAAAGAAACAGCAAGTTAGAAGGATTTATTAATGCCTGTAATTCAGACAGCTCCGACCACAAATCTTCATAATGCAGACTATGTGCTAAAGCAGATTGCTGCCTCTCTCTTTGGTTATGCTATTAGCTATAAAAGCATTGCTCTGAGTGACAGAAAGGCATGCACAGTAATGCAGTTGCTTTCTGAACTATAAAATTAACAAATCAGGTTGTTGAACCTGCACACATCTTCCTGAGCCTCCAAAACTGATTTAACACATTCAGTAAACAGAAGGCCAGGTATCTCTATAGTTAGTCCACTGGTGAGCTGAGAATATGGCTTAGTTATACCACTGAAAGCAACATGAACAGGCCGTGTAAAAAGTCTGGAGAAAGTCTTTGAACAGATTTCTCATGCAGTGCTTATAGATAAATGCCTCCTTGATTTGTAGGTCTGTTAAAAAATCCTACTGCAAACTTCAAATCCTAGAATCATCAAGGGTGGAAGAGACCAAGTTCAATTGCCAACCCAGCAACCCTGTAAACCACTAAACCACTGCTCAGCCCCAGATCCTGACAACTCTTCAACACCTCCAGGGATGGTGACTCCACCAGCTCCCTGGGTACCCTATTCTAACACTTGACCACCCTAACACTGAAATTTTAATTTTTTTCTAACATCAAATCTGAATCTCCCCTGTCTGAGCTTAAGGCCATTTCCTCTTATCCTCTCACTGTAGACACAGTAGTAGAGACCACTCCCCACCTGGCTATACCCTCCTTTCAGGGAGTTGTAGAGAGTGAAGAGATCCCCTCTGAGCCTCCTCTTCTCTAGACTCACACACCCAGCTCTTTCAGCTGCTCCTCACAAGACAAGCTTTCTAGACTTTACATGAGCTTTGTTGCCCTTTGCTGGACACACTTCAGCATTTCAATTTCCTTTTTAAAGTGAAGGGCCAAAACTGGACACAGCACTCGAGGTGTGGCCTCACCAGTGCCAAATGCAGAGGGACAATCACTACCACACTATTTCTGATACAGGCCAGGATGCCACTGGCCTTCTTAGCCACCTGGGCTCACACTGGCTCATATTAAGCTGGTTGTTAACCAGCACACCCAAGCCCCTTTCTGCTGTACAGTTCTTGAGCCACTCTGCCCTCAGCCTGTAGCACTGCATGAGGCTGCTGCAAGCCAAGTGCAGGACCCAGCACTTTGTGTTACTGAACCTCGTGCACTTGTCCTTGGCACACAGATCGAGTTTGTCCAGGTCTGTCTGCACAGCCTTCCTACCCTTAAGGAGATCAACACTCCCATCTGACCTGGTGGTGTCTGCAAATTTACTCAGGATGCACTCAATCCCCACGTCCAGATCATTAATAATAGTGTTAAAACAGGACTGGCCCAAATTCTGAGCCCTAGGGAACACCACTAGTGACCAGCTGCCAACCAGACTTAGCTCCATTCCCCACCACACTCTGGGCCTCACAACCATTGGAGAGTCCACCCATCCAAGTCCCAAGCAGCCAGTTTTTCTAGGAGGACGCTGTGAAAGATGGTGTGAAATGCTTTACTGAAGTCTAGATAAACAACATCCACAGCCTTCTCACCAGGCTCTTAGTCATATGAGATCAGATCAGTCAAGCAGGACCTGCCTTCCTTCAATCTATGTTTTCTGGGCTCGATCCCTTGGTTGTCCTGCCTGTACCATGTAATGGCACTTAGGATGATCTCTTCCAGAACCTTGCCCAGAGCTGAGGTCAGGCTGACAGGCCTGTAGTTCCTCAGATCATCCCTCCAACCATTCTTATAAATGGGTGTTACATCTGGTAATCTCCAGTCACCTGGAACTTCTCCAGTTAAGCAGGACTGCTGATAGATGATTGAAAGTGTTTTGGCAAATTCACTTACATCTGGTAATCTCCAGTCACCTGGAACTTCTCCAGTTAAGCAGGACTCCAGTTGATAGATGATTGAAAGTGTGTTGGCAAATTCACAGAATCATTAGCTTGGAAGAGACCTTCAAGATCATCGAGTCCAACCCATGCCCTAACACCTCAACTAAACCATGGCACATCCACGGAGTGCCACATCCAGTCTTTATTAAACACATCCAGGGATGGTGACTCCACCACCTCGCCAGGCTGGCCATTCCAGTACCTTATTGCTCTTTCCATAGCTCGAGACTGTGTCCTCTGGTTCTGTCAGTTGCTGCCTGGAGAAAGAGACCAACCCCACCTGACTACAGCCACCTTTCAGGGAGCTGTAGAGAGTGATGAGGTCAGCTCTGAGTCTCCTTTTCTCCAGGCTAAACATCCCCAGCTCCCTCAGTCGTTCCTCACAGGGCTTGTGTTCCAAGCCCCTCACCAGCCTCGTTGCCTCTTCTGGACATGTTCAAACATGTTTCAGGGAGCTGTAAAGAGTGATAAAGTCACCTCTGAGTCTCCTTTTCTCCAGGCTAAACATCCCCAGCTCCCTCAGTCGTTCCTCACAGGGCTTGTGTTCCAAGCCCCTCACCAGCCTCATTACCTCTTCTGGACGTGCTCAAGCATCCCAATGTCCTTCCCAAACAGAGGGGCCCAGAACTGGACACAGCACTCAAGGTGCAGCCTCACCAGTGCCAGTGAGTACTTCTGCCAGCTCCCTCATTACTCTGGGGTGGATCCAATCAGGGCCCATAGCCCTGTGAGTGTCTAACTGGCACTGCAGGTCACTAACCATCTTGTCCTGGACTACAGGAGCTTCACTCATTTGTACATCAACAACTTCCATCTCAGGGAGCTGCGTATCCTGAGGACAAGTGATCTTGATATTGAAGACTGAGGCAAAGGCTCCTGGACTACGGCAGCTTCACTCATTTGTACATCAACAACTTCCATCTCAGGGAGCTGCGTATCCTGAGGACAACTGATCTCGATATTGAAGACTGAGGCAAAGAAGGCATTAAGTACCTCTGCCTTTTCCTCAACCCCTGTTACTACACCACCCTCTGGATTCAATTAATGGTGAAGACACTCCTTGACCCTCCTTTTGCTGTCAACGTACTTATACAAACTTTTTTTGTTGTCTTTAACTGTAGTGGCCAATGCAAGGTCTAGTTGGGCTTTGTCCCTTTTAATCTTCTTCCTCTATAAACTTGTGATGTCCTTGTAGTTCCCCCACGTTACCTGACCCTCCTTCCAGAGATTATATATTCTCTTTTTTCCCTCTAAGTTCCACCTTAAGTTCTCTGTTTAACCACACTGGTCTTTTTCCCCATACAACTTGTCTTTCCACACATGGGGACAGTCTGTTCCTGAATATTTAACAACTCCTTTTTAAAGCATATCCAGCCTTCCTGGACTCCTTTGCTCTTCAGAACTGCCTTCCAAGGGACTTGGTCAATCAATGTCCTAAACAGGCCAAGGTCTCCTCCCCAAAGTCCAAGGCAGAAGTTTTGCTGGTGCCCCTCCTTACTTCACCCAGTACAGAAAACCCTAACAGTTTGTGGTCACTCTGCCCAAGATGGCCACTGACCATCCTATCACCCACCAGCCTTTCTTTGCCCACAAGCAAGAGGGCCCCTTCTCTGTTAGGCTCATTTACCAGTTGGGTTAGTTAGAAAGCTGTCTTCCACACACTCCAGGAACTCCCTAGGCTGCTTCCTCTCTGCTGTATTTCCAGCCGACATGTGACAAGTTGAAGCCACCCATGAGCACAAAGGCTGTGACGCCTCTGCCACTGCTTGTAGAATGCCTCATCAGCCTGTTCCTGGCTCGGTGGTCTCTAAGGGACTCCCACATGACATCTGCCCTGCTGACCTTCCCTGTGTCCTTACCCACAGGCACTCAACCTTGTCATCTTCATCATCAACTTCAATATAATTCAAACACTCCCTATTGTACAGTGCAACCAACCACCTCTCCTGCTTCACCTGTCTCTTCCAAAGAGCTTATATGCAGCCATTGCAGCACTCCCATGATGACAGTCACCCCACCTTCTGTGAAGGTGACAATGTCAAAACCTTCCTGCTGAACAACGGCTTCCATCTCCTCCTGCTCACTGCCCACACTGTGTGTTGGTGTAGATGCTCTTTAGCCGGGCCAATGGTTTTGCCTGCATCACAGACCTGCCACATCTCTAGTGATCCTCCACTTTCTGAGGTGCATTTGACTGGTACACTTGCCTCAGGGGAGGTAGAGAATGGCTCTACCAGCCACCCTATTCCTCAGATGCTCTAATGCCCCTTAACCCTTGCACCCCTGCTTTGACAGTACTGCTAAGCAGAGCAGATCACTGACCTACCTGCACTCACACAGGTGTTCTGTTACCCTCTGATGCCAGTGCCACGCTCTGGCACTCCCTGAAGCCTGCCTGAGCACTAACACAGATAGTGATCCTCCACTTTCTGAGGTGCATTTGACTGGTACACTTGCCTCAGGGGAGGCAGAGAATGGCTCTATCAGCCACCCTCTTCCTCAGATGCTCTAACGCCCCTTAACCCTTGCACCCCTGCTTTGATAGTCCTGCTAAGCAGAGCAGATCACTGACCAACCTGCACTCACACAGGTGTTCTGGTACCCTCTGATGCCAGTGCCACGCTCTGGCACTCCCTGAAGCCTGCCTGAGCACTAACGTCTGAAACCCAAGTGACTGTGCAAATATTCATCTCTTGTGCATATCAAGTAGCCTTAAACCTGCCACAAGAAAATCAAGGATACTCTAGGTATTTATATATACTTCAAAGATATTGAGTACCAAATGACTGGCCTTATGCTTAAAAGATCCTGTACAAATACCTGATAGTTTCACATATAAAAGCTTCAAATTCTAAAGTAAGAAGCAGATCCATTCCCACACACTCAAAGTTATTCACACATCTGTTTAAAGGGTTTTAGGTTATTCTGCTACCTCGGGCTTTAGTATTAGTCTCTTCAGTGTGCTATCAGCCTCGGAAATGAGAAGAAGCTCTAAAGCAACAGTCAACCTCACCCAAAGCTGTTACATAGCAGAAGAATTACAATTTAAAGTGCTTGCTTTCCACCTTTGAAATAAGACCTTCTACTGACTACAAACAAACAAAATCTTATTAATTTCTATTACTGACTTACTAATTCTACTATTCACTTTTCCCCAAATTAAGTACATCCCAAATGGTCACATTTGCTTTTTTGTTTCAAACAGAGATACTGAAATGTTTTTTTCTTCCTGGTCAATAACAGTCCGTATCTTTGACTTAAAAAAGCTGTAGCTTTCAGTGCTGAAAGATTCCTGTAAGTGATGCAGAAAAGAGAGAACAAATCTAGTCTCCTTTCCCTTTTTATAAAAACAATACCTAAAAATATGTCTTCCAATTGGTTTTAATGACCAGTATTCCCTCAGGAAAAAAATCTTCTGTTTGTTTTTATGGCCCCAAAGGAAATACAGTTGTAATTTAGACCTCAAAAAAACCCTAGTAAACCAGAAATTATATAAACTTTACCAATCATTCCATGAAAGTAGTTTGCCAGAAGCCAGTATTTGAAGAAAATGATTTTTGAGCTTAGTACTATTTAGATAACTGTAACTTCCCTAGGTTTTCTTTTTACACTCTCTAGTCGTGTCAAAGGACGGAAATTGGACTTCCTGCTTCCCTCTGCAGTAGTCAATCTACAGTCCTTCTGCAGCCCCTTCAGCAGCTCCATCAACTCCCGTTTTTCCAGCTCTGCCTGCTCCAGCTCCTGACGGTGCTGCCGCTCCGCAGCCATCAGAGACCGCACATCTGACATCAGTCGTGACATCTGGCTCTGCAATGCAAACACAAATTTACTGCAAGAAACAAACCCTCTTCTAATGATGGTGCAATGAAGTCAAACTGGCCACACACATAGGGTGATGGAGTCTTTGGAATAAAAACCACCAAAATAATTTTTTGATAATGTAACAAATGTCAACAATTTGAGACCCAATCCAGCATTCACCTTGTGGGATAGTCTTGTTCTAAAGATTCCCATATGTTTTCCAAAAATGTTTAGTTTTCTTATTTTGTTTCTTACGAAGTATGATAAGAAACAGCCAACTTACCCACGTGCTGCTTTTATTTTCTTTTTCAAGAATCCAAATAAAATATGATTGTGGTTATGTTCAGATACATTCTTCAAGGATTTAACATCAAATCCAGTAAAACTAAATGTGTAAACTATACATTTTTAAAAACTTTATAAAGCTTTTAAAAATTATTTCTTTAGAAATAATTTTTCTGTGATATACTAAAAGAGGATGAATAAAAGGATAAGACAGCCTTGCTTGTTACTTGATGAAGTTTACTGTGAACCTTTCCAATGTTCTGATCACAGTGCAAATACCACTCTTGGCAGTAGGGCTCTGTGTCAGCTCTGGACTAAGCCATTTTGCACAGCAATTAAAAATGGAGCTGGGTGTTTAATTACATCCGGTTTGTGATGTATACTCTACATTTAGACACTGAAATCAGTTTCAGATTGATCTGCTGACAATGTTACACACTAGAACATGGGTGGAGTACCCAGGTGAGCTCCAGTGAACCCGAAGCAGACAAACCACAGGAACACAGCATCCAGCCTGCTTCTCCACAGAGCTAACCTGGAAAGGCTGTGATGGTTTTGCTTCCCATACTTAATGCCATTTTCCTCTGTATGAGACTTTATTTACAAAATAAGAAACTGCTACTGGGAAAAGCAAAAACCTAGACTGTTAAGAGAGGGGAAAAAAAGCATTGTATTTACCTTTAGTTCTTCAATTTCATTTTGCAGAATACTCTCTTTTTGGACCATATGCCTTCTCTGTGAATCTAACCTTGACTCCATCTCGTGTTTTGCCTCTTCCACTCTGCAGATCATTTCTGACCTAAAAAGTTTATTTCTCCTTGTTAAGTCTTGTAAGCAGAGAAAAGAATGATCTTCAAAATCCAGAAAGCCTTCTGGCAGCCAAGCAGACTGAACTGATTCCCATCAAGCTCTACAGGATGCCTCTGTAGAGGCATGATTTATTAATTTAAAAAGAAAAACCGCATAAAGAAGTGCATTGTGCCCAGGGGCATTAAAGTGCCCATGAGGAGCCTATAGAGGGACAATCATATCATATTCCTCAAATAAAATTCCAAGAGCTCAAGCAGGTGTATTTATGACTTTAAGTGATTTTCTGCTGTTTGCCTACAGTATGTTTTTGCTGAGTGTTATGAAATAGAGGCAGCCAAGATAAAAAGTCTGAATCCTATAGTACTGCTAAATATGTAAGGAAGTGAGACAGCCTGGTGTGTGGACATGGCAGGCACTTACAAACACAGTTTAGTGGTGGGCCTGGCAGTGCTGGATTAACTGCTGGACTCAATGATGTTAAAGCTCTTTTTCAATCTAAACTATTCCATGGCTCTGTGTAATCTTGTTCACTTTTATGGTGGACACTAAATGACAGTATACAGTAAATGTTACAGCCTAGTCACTCACACAGCTCCACAGCCAAAACCAGATGGCACTACATGAACCTTTTGAGTTCAGAAACCAGGTAGCAGAATCACTTGTGTCTCAATGCATTTAAACCATATTTGAGCCTGACTTCACAGCAGTGTTCAAAAGCACAACACTTAGGAGCTGAAAGATACAAATGGGAAGGAGCATGAGTGGGGAAAAAAAAGCACAACTAGAATATAATGAAAAGGGAAACCTATGTAAGAGGAAAACAATGATGCTGGTAAGAAGAGTCATATTCACTGACTGTTTATCTACCAGAACTTAAAAAAAAATCAAAATTAGACCTTCAGTGGTTGAATCTACCTGTACCTGCCAAAATAATTACAGATTTTTATCTTCTCAATCTGTAAAAACATAAACTAAATACAATTATTAAGTAATGTGGCTTTGTCTGTACAACAGGCCAGTAGAAAAATTAAATTGCCAGCTTCCATTTTCTTAGGATTTTTGTCATTTTAAATAGCAATTCTGTTCAACTGCAAGCAATTTTAAGCAAGTTCAACTGCAAAGTATTTTAAGATTTACGGTAACTTGGAAAAAAATGTCCTGTGGTGTTACATTTTAGCTAAATGTTTTGCTCTGTGTCACCCCTCGAAAATGTACGGTTTATTCCAAGCTGTGATCCTCCCCTGAAGTCTCACATATCAGCAATCCCATTGGCCCAAGTCTTACTCCATGCCCACTTTGCATCTCCCTGTTAAACTGAGCAAGACCAGACTCCCTCTCGGCCCATCTCTCCTTAGGCTCTCCCTCTCTCCCCCTCCCTCCCCCTTTCCCCTTCTCCCTCAGAAACCATGCTGCTCCCGGGGGTGGGATCCCCAATAAACCCTCATCTAATCAGCACCCTCAGAAGCCGTGTGGAGTCTCCTTGTGCTGGCTGATACCAGTGATCTCACAGCTTAGGGGGCCCTCCGGGGACTCCCTGGGGAGCCCCCTCAAACGAACTGCAACAATACCCAACAAAAAAGAACCAAAACGGCAAGAATTTAAAGCCTATGCTGACACATAATAAAATTCTGGCCCATTAGCATCATCAAGTAATTCATGGACCATTTAACACATACCAGAAAGCAGTGCTAGAATTTCAAAGTGCTTGATGCAGTGCCTTTAAGCCCAGCCCAAGAGAGACCCGAGAGGAAGAGAAGCTCTGTACCGGAGCAGCTCCAGCTCGGTCCTCAGCTCGGCCACGCAGTTGTGCTGCGAGTCCTCAGCGCTGAGCAAGGTGTAGCCGCAGCCGTTGGGGCACGCCCGGCTCCGGAACTCGCACACCGCCAGGTGCCCGTCCAGGTGACGCCGCTCGACCTGCACCGTGCAGCCTGGGCGAGGGGAGCAAGGCAGCACAGCCAGCTACAACTAAAGCACTTGGGCCTTTCCAGACAAAAACACTCAAGAAAGGAAGGTGAGGGAAGGGATTTCTTTAGGATATGAAATATGACAGTTACACATACGTAGCTACTCAAAAAACACTGTTAAGAGGTCTTACTAAGACATTTATCCATTAACTGAGAACACAGAAAGGTTGGAAGGAGGTATTTTATGTAAAGGTTACTACTGCTGGTCTGGCATTAAATCAACTTCAGTAATTACAATCCTGATGCAAAACTAAGACTAGCAGCTTGCCTGTGCTACCATCATAGATTTCAATGACTGGAATTCATACAGAATACACATGTGTAAAAAAATATTATGCTATCAAACTTAAAGAAAGGTCCAAAGACATAGTAAAGAGAGATGTGGGTGAGATGGAATGTAAACTTGTTTGCCAGACAATTTGTTGGTCTTGTCCATAATGTAGTAGACCACAATAATAAGTTAGAACATTTATTTGTGAACATTTAATAACTCATATAAAGATAGAAATATTTTCACAGAAATTCTAGGACACAAACTTTGCAGTTCTGTAGTAATTAAAAACAAAATGTAAAGAATCAAAAATAAGCACTATACAAATTATTGCTATATTTAACACTCTAAACTTAAAGTTTGTAGTCTCAACTTATGAAGTCAAACTCAGGAAGTTGTGGTTTAATTGTTGAGGCTCACTTTGTTGAAATACACACTTGCATTTAATTTGAAGAGAATATCAACTTAAGGAAACTGAAACAATGGAGTATTGAAACTTCCCAACAAACCATGCCAGAAAATGACAAATGAGTACTAGAAGAGCTTTACTAATAAATATAATGATTTGTAATTGAGGTACTCAAAACACACTCCATGAATTTTTGGGACAGAGTTGAAGAGATCTAAGAGTCTTCACATCCCAAACACCAGACACCCACTGTGGTGTAAAAACATAAATCTGTAAAACACTGCTGTTTCTGTAGGAAGTAGAACAGGTGAATCAATCATCTGCAGAAGTCACTTCTGAGAAAAATCATAACTTCTAGCAGAACAGGTCTAGTACCTTAATCATCTCATAATTAATTTTACAATGGCAGACTCAACTATGTCTTTAGCATCGTTAATTAGATTTTAACTTAATCTAGGAACAGACAACATTTCAAATTAATTCAACTGGGAAATTTTAACAGTATGTTCCTTCTTAGAGGTATGTTTCTTTTTCAGGAGGTGTAGCCTTGCTTTAAATAAAAACCTCAATTCTAACTAGAATTTAGCTTAGAATAATTCTTTTTTCCAAGATATATTCTTGTTAAAGCCATGTCACAGAGTTGACAGCTGCACATGCACCAGGCAACCAGGTGTTTTATAAATAAATTATGACCCCTAAGTCTTCTGCAGGGGCTACTGCATCCATTCAAACATCAAAACATGCAGTCAGAACAGCAAAACAAACTCATAAGCAAAACTAATGCACTACTACATTTTCATGCATTCAAAGTTCATAATATTAATTTTGGTTCGTTTTTGGATAAGAAATAGTTGCTAATCATCATGACTGCCATAAACTGGTATTATATTTTGTTCAAAAACACTGCTGTAAAGAACAGATCATGCCAAAGCTTTGCATTTCTGTTAAAAAATAATGGCCATTATTGCAGTTCTATTGATGGGAAGATGACAAACGTGTTTGTTTAATATAAAGGATTCAACTTCTTTGAATGTTACTCACCAGCATTGGAGCAAGGTATCTGACTGTACTCACACTCCCTTTCATGCCTGTCTATAGACTCCAGAGAACAAACCATTTCACAGCCATACTCTCTGTTTCTGCAATGTAGCTGAAGACGGTTTAAATCATTTTTCATATATCTACATGCAAAGAAAATAATTTGTTCTTAAATCTGGGAACATTATTGAAAAATATGTATTTTCAACTTTTGGGAAAAGAAAGCAAGATTCTAATCTCCATTAGGAAAAACTGTGAGTAACTAGCTGAATTTATTTCTTTTTTTAAAAATTCAAGTGACCATATCAGAAAAAAAAAAACAAAAAAGAAAGAATGTTAATGGAAAATTCAGTCTCCAAATTTAAATGAGCAAATGAAATCTTTGTTTTTGAATAATTTTTAATTGTGACCTTTCACTGGCTCAGCAGATATTATCAATTACAAACACCAGGGCTACTCATTTGCCATTTAAGTTCCGTGGTTCTAAACATGCCAGTCTAAAGGACTACAGTAAGTACAGACAAAACAATTTAAAAATTAAACTCTAGTGCTCTGTCTACACTGTAGCTAACTTCCAGATAGTAAAATCTCATGAATGAGAAATTACGTTATGAGTATTAACAAAGTTAAATTTACTGTAGCTGGAGACTTTAAATACATAACTGTTACTCTGAGCAAGATTAGATAATGCAGATGTTAAATAGCAAGCAGCATCTATTGTTGAAACTGTTTTGTTCTGACACTTGCAAGAATTAACAGCTTAAAATAGAACAGTTTGCTTGGGAAAGACCAACAACAATCATGGTCCAACTGCCTGACCAGTTATAGAAGGCACTAGTGAGAACAGCCTGATTTACATGACAAGGTGGTTCAGACACTCCTATGCCCAAAGATCTTTTTTAAAAAGGATTTGAAGTTCAAAAATTTGGTTAATATCTCCAGGAATTGTAAATTAAAAACCCCACTACAGCATCTAACTAAGACTGAAAAGGAAAGAGATACAGAGTGTGTAGTGACTGTCATCCAGAGTCGCTTTGCTTGCTTTCTCTAAAATCAAGTATGGAAAAGTTTTGATGCTGTAAAGGACATTCAGAAAAATATCCAGACAGGCATCTAGAATCAGCATTCAAGATATAAAAAGGTGGAGAACAAGCTAAGTGTCCTTTCAGTTTTGAAATCCTGACACCATAACAGTTATAATAAACAGAAAATGCTAACTAGTGCTTCCATGTAAGTGTTGGTGTCTGCTGCAGGCATACTGGATAAAGACAGCCTGAGCAACAGTATCGACAGGAGATGAAGCTGTGCAAGCAAAATGGAGAAATCCTAAATTCATGTAATTTCAGCACACAGCAAGATTATTGGATACCTGTAGAGAGGTCGCAGCAAAGACACATCAATCACTTGTCTGTCTTCAGGGCAGTTACTGTGATGCACGAGCCACCCATGGATGCAGGCAGTGCAGAACGCGTGCTCGCAGGGAGCCTGCAGCGGATCTTCCAACACGTCCCGGCAGATGGAGCACAACAGCCCTTCATTAACATAGCCCACGAAGCGCTCAATGTCGTAACCCATGCTCTCCACACCTTCAACCTGCTCAAAAACCCCAAACACACAGAAACAAAGCAACCTTTGTGCTCAATCTGTATGGGTAGGTCCACAAAGAGGCCTGAAAGCAATTCTAAAAATAAGGAGACCATATAATGAATAAAGAAGCGAATATGTGAATTGTTTTACACACTTCAGAGACTTTCAGATTTAAGTGGGAATTTGAGAATTGTACTGCTGGATGTCAGAATCACAATTTTCTATCACGACATTCTGAACTCTGAAAGCAAAGACTTTGACACAGTGGAGCTGCGCTTCTTCTGAATGCTGTTATTGAACACAATTCTAGCAGCCACTGTGAAAGATACAGTTTCTATTTACATGAATTCTACCCAAAGTAGAAACATCAAAGAAGTTCAAATGCAAATGTTTGCTTTCCATTTTAATACCTTTCATATAATGCCTAACAAACTTACAAAACGGTGTTCTTACCAACAATAGCTGTGGCACTTTCAGCTAGCAAATTCTGGACTGATGTTCATCCTTAAGTGATGAACATCACTTAAGATGTTGCTTTCATGCTGAAAAAAGGATTCTCTAGTCACTGTAGACCTCCATTTCAGAGGGAACAGCATGAGATCTCCACATGCTTAAAGACACACTTAATATTCAGGAAGTAAAAGAAGCCAAAAACTGCAGCTAACCCTGCAACTATGAAGAGCTACTGTCTTTTCCTACATGATCTGTTCTATAAAACTGAGAAGCTTTTGAATGGATTTCAAAGCTTTGTGAAGAAGAACTAATGGGCAATCTGCCTTCATCTAAATTCTGTCATGAAAAACCTTGTGGAATTTGGCAAGACTCCACAGAACTTGCTTAAAAGAATAAGTTTTAGGCTCCACATTGCTCCTTTAGAGATAAAGTTACTTTTGTAAACCCACTGAGACTCATGAAAGAGTTTTTCTAAAGAAAATAGAAAAGGAAGACTTCTTACCTTTGTAGATTTTAATACATATATATGTAGTTTGCCCAAATACTTCAGAAACAGTTATCAGTGAGGCATGTAATGCTTCCTTCAGTTTCTCTTCACTGCTTTATTATGCCTATGAGAAAAATTAGAAAGAGTAAGGCTCAGTAGTGTTTCCTAAGTTACTGAGTCCTATGGCTAACAAGCCAGCTACTGAATAGATGCTGTCCTAACAGCCCATTAAAACCAAGTTTTCCAAAGCAAGCCACTGAAAAACTACAATTCAACACAGAAGAACTGACTAGTTTAGGGTGAAAATAATCTTCAGTCTCTGTTTCAATTACTACTGATGCAGATATTTATCACAAAACTGAACACCCTGCTAATGATCAATTTTGAAGCCAGTTTTGTTTGTAAGACTGAAGACAACAGAATTAGTATTATTGAAAAGTAGAACTGAAATCTGGTAAAATTATATTCCTGAAAAAGATGGAAGTTCCTTATCAACCTGTTCTAATCCAGTCAAGACAAGCAGTTCATTTTTGAAACAAACCTATTACAGTCAAGTTTGTTGTATTGGCAAATATCATTGCTGTGTAGCATAACTAGGGTTGCTCACTTAAAACATCATAAAAGATGTCATTATTAAACCTCTTAAGTTATGCTAGAGGACTTAAACAGCATATATACATTAGATAACATGAACTGTAAACCTAGCACCTTGATGTGGTTTGGTGGATCCAAGAGGATTCTGCTTTTAGAAAACTTTCAAGGACAGGTAAGAGAGAAAAACTAAGTACTTTTACTGTCCTGCTCTACTGTTCTACTGGAATTGTGGATGCTGTGAGCTAGATTTTGCACAAACACTGCTAGTCCCTGAGGATCGTCTTCCAAGTCACTCTTCAGCATATTTTAGTGAGTTTGAAGACTAACAGAATGCAAGAAAGAGTATTTTTATGAAATGGGGAACAAAAAACTTTATTTGTGCTTAACAGAGAAGTGAAGTGCAACAGCAACAACAACATATATATATTATATACATGTGCTTGTGTATATAAATATATATGGATGTATAAAGCCCCAGCCAAACTGAAGTTCAAATGAAGAGCAGATGGGAACTTTGAGGCAAAAAATCCAATCAAGGGGGATTCTTCAGGACATTTTCAGGACTCATGTTGGAGCAGCAAAACACAGTGCTGGAACCCTTGTGGCCATGGATCTGGGACCTATGACAACAGCTGCTACTGAAGTTCCAGCCTTCTCCCAGTAGAACTTTCCTGACCTGAAGAACCAGAGATGTTTTATTTTCTTATCAAGTTCAAGAGATGCATCTTAGTCAAGAGATAAGCAGAGGGAGAGTATCTGATGAATGTCATGCACTTTGGCAGTACAGATCACTTTACCACAAAATGAGATAATTTTCAGCTTCTGCTTATCCCCAGAAACTTCTCTCTCCTCCATTTGACCTCAAAACTTTATTTTCCCAATTCTACTACAATTCACCAATTGTCACACTCCTTTTTTGATTGCACCTAGAAATTAAAATTATTTTCTTGAAGATGTCAGTTGCTTAGCTTAAGCAATTAACTTCTATTTAGAATAAGTCACACAGAATTATAATACTCTGTGATTTAGAATGCTGTATGGAGCTTGGGCTGCTGGAAGCCTTAGGCTGAAAGCTATGGACTTTTGTCCTAGACATGTTTTTGGCTGGATCTGAGTTAATTTCCTTAGCAATTTTCCCAGTAGCTGCTACAGAGCTGTGCTTTGCTTTTAGAATGAGAATGTTGACAACACACCAATGTTTTAGTTGTTGCTAAGTAATGTTTATCCTAAGTCTAGGACTTTATTTTAGCTTCCCATGCTCTACCAGGGGGCAGGTGCACAAGTAGCACAGACCAGAAGATAAGGAGCTCATGGTCATCAGCAGAAGCTGCAACTCAAGATAAGAACAGTTAACAGCTTGCCTGCGTGGACGTGGAGAGAGAATCCAAAAAGCTGTTAGAAGATCCCAGACCAAAAATCACCACTGGACTAAAAGGGCCGTGTGAAGAGCACGTAGGGGAGGGTGCATAAATTGTAAGGGTATCATTGTGCACAGATTTCTTTGTTTGGGAGAGAGAGCACACAAACTATGACATGCTATTTGCTTCTTATTGTTTCATATGTTCTATTTTCCCTGCAGACAAGCAAAAGTCTCCAGACTTCAGAGGTATCAAGCCACTTTTCAACAATTGTCATCCCACGCTGTTTGCCAGGCAGATGCACATCCAAAACCAGCCTTGAGTTGTGGACTTCACTGCCCTCAGACAGAGATTTGGTGTGGATATGATAACAGGGAGAATACAGCTGGGATGTAGTTCCCAACAACATCATCACATAGCGTGCTAAATACCTGGCACTAATCAAAGCTATTCCACTGTGAAAGTCAGGACACTGAAATGAAATTAGTGACCTTCATTTTTGCATCTGCAGTAGCTTCTGATTTTTAAAAAATGCTTCTTTTCCATGTGACAAAACAAAGTGTAACTGTTTAAAGTCTGGAGTGAACCACGGAACTACAGATGTGCATGGCTAAGACAGCATTTTCAGAAATGCTGGAGGAACAGAGGCTGTGCAGGGCCCAGGGATGAGGTGACACTGAGACATGACATTTCTTCAGCCTTTATTTTCACAAATCCTGCTATACAGAAGCAATATTTTATGTGTTTCTTGCCACTCTGACACTGTAAGCCACTCCAAGCCAGCATGAGTGCCCAGAGGGGCAGGCTCACCCCTTCACATGTGACTGTACAAATGGTTTCTCAGGCACTTGATGCATTGCTCTCAGTAACTGACCTGTTTTAAGACTGAATTGGGGAAAAAAAAAATTAACTTTGGCAGTTTTCTTATGGTAGCCCAAGCCTAGCTATCCACAAATTAAAGTGCTCCCCACCTCTCTCCACTTCCTTCTTTGAATCATTGGGAACATTTAATTTGCCCCTTTCCTAAACTGGCTCATGCAACTCACCAGACAACTATACCCTGATTTGATTTGTTAAGCTAGAATTTCTAGTAGATGGCTCAGCAAAAGCTCTAGGGACTGTGTAAGCAAGACATGACCAGGGATAAGAAACTGCAGCCAGGGCAGAAAGGGAAGAAAGATCTCGGGATTTCCTCTTGGTCTGGTCTGGCTGGGAAGATCTCAGGTGTGTCTCTGTTAAAAGTCTCTTTTCTCTCACCCAGCAGCTGAAGAAGGAGACAAGAAGTCTTTGGTTCACGTTCTCAAGGTTACTATATTTTATCTCAACCATTTTCTGTCTGGCCTGCCAAGGTTTGTTTTGCAGGTTGGTCTGAGGCACACACCCCGCCTCTTGGGCTGGTGCTATCTTTTATACTAAAATTATGTATATTATGTTTATAATAATGTTTTAAAACTTATGATTTATGTTAGACAGTGACTTTCTACTTTAATCTGTGAATGTTAATATCATTTTGAACATGGATGCTAGGGAGAAGAAAGAAGAAGGATAGGGTACATTTAAATCTCTCCATCTTGGAACTTTTGACTCTCATGTGTAGAATTCTAAACTCTCTTGTACAAGGTTTAAAACCTCCTTGTACATTGTTCTAAATTTTTTCTTTTCACCCTGTGATTGCTACTACTATGCTACTTAAACTTCTGTGGCTTGTAATTCTTCATATAAGGTTGGCAATTTGCTCCATGAATTAAGATTGAATTTCCAGGTGTCTCTGGCTTCCTGCCAGGGCTTTGACACATTTAGGGTATTCAGAGAGATGTCTTGGGTTCTGACAGAAAGACAGACAGCAGCAGTGGTCAAGGATGCTGAGGGGGGCTACTCCCTCAGCTCAGCTCCCCAGACTGGTACACTGGGGAGCTGGATGAACACTCGTGTAAGAGAAAAGGGACAGAGAAGGGTAAGAATAAATGAACAGCAACACCACCCTACACTGATGCAAACAACTGATTTTTTTTTTTAAAGCTTATATAAAAAATATGAGGCAACTTAAGGCCTCTTCTGGGAGCTACTTAACTACTGTAGCTATTCTGACAAAGACCATTTTTGTACAACACTTGCTGCCCTGCAAAGCCTACTGAGAACAGTGCCATCCATGACCTGCCTTGCACAGACCAGAGTCCAGAGAAAGGCCATGGAGTTGGTGAAGGATCTGCAGTCCCATGAGGAGCGGCAGAGGGAGCTGGGGGTACTTAGCCTGGAGAAAAAGAGGCTCAGAGGGACCATATCGGTCACCTGAGAGGAGACTGCAGCCAGGTGAGGGCTGGGCTCTCCTCCCAGGGGACCAGCGACAGGAGGAGAGGCCACACGGGCTCAGGCTGTGCGGGGGCTGGGTTCCAGGCTGGACAGCAGAAAGAATTCCTTCACAGAAAGGGTGGTCAGCCACGGGAACGGGCTGGCTGACCCAGAGATCTTTCCAATCTAACTAATGCTGCGGCCACCCCCGAGGCGGCGCAGGGCCGGGCTGTCCGGCCCAGCCGAGCCCCGGCGAGAGGAGCCCGCTCCCCCGGGGCCGTGCGAGGGAATTCCGTGCAGCAGCAGGGAAAGGCCTCCGGATCCGGCCCGGGAAGGCGCTTCGGGGACGGACAGCGATCCTGGACACAGGGCAGAGAGCTGGCCTGGCAGCAGGAGGAGGGACCCGACACCACGAGACAGCAGCTGCGCTGCCCCAGGCAGGACAAGCGCCCTTACAGCTGCACACCCCTGCCCGCGCTCTTCCCACACGCCAGCGACGCCGCCGCCGGCCCGGCGCTGGGCCCTGACAAACGCTGAGCAGGACCCCGCGCAGCACGTCCCTCCCCGGTCCCGCTGCCCCGGCCCGGCCCGGCCCGGCCCCGCGGCCCCGCTCACTCACCCCGCCCGCCGCCGCTCGCTGTCGCGCAGCCCAGCTCCCCTTTACGGCCGCCCTCGCTCGACGGCGGCGCGGCGGGCAGCCGCTCCGCCATGCTGCGTGTGGCACAGACGCCGCAGGCCGGCACTGCGCATGCGCACGGCAGCGCCTCCCGCGGGCGGGAAGCGCCTTTCCAGGGTCCCGGCCCGCGGCACGGCCCGCGCGCATGCGCGCCCGGCGGGCAGGGAAGGCCGCGCAGGGCGCACGCGCGGTGCGGGCGGTGGGGCTGCCGGGAGCGCGCGGCGGGACAATTGAGCGCAGAGGCGGCGGCGGGAGCGCAGGTACGGGAGCCGCGGGCGGGGCCTGGGAAACACCCTACAAATAATCTATCTCCAGCTCCCCTGCCGCGGGCAGGGACAGCTTTCACTCGGTCACGTTGCTCAGAGCTTCATTCTGCCTGGCCTTGAGCGATGGGGCATCCGCAACTTCTCTGGGCAACCTGTCCCAGCGCCTCACCATCCTCAGAGTGAAGAGTTTCTGCCTTACATCTAATCTAAACCCGCTCCCTCAGTTTGAAGCCATCCCCCCTTGTCCTATCGCTACGTGCTCTTGTAAAAGTTCATTACAGCTACTTCTGATCTGAAGAGGTTTTTCGGAATGTTGGTGTCGAAGGCGATGCAGTCGCTGCTGCAGTTTAGCTGGGTGAAAGCTGGCGCCGTGCCGCCTCTGTAGCTGCCCGCAGCCCCGCCGTGCCGTGCCGTGCCGTGCCGTGCCGTGCCGTGCCGTGCCGTGCCGTGCCGTGCCGTGCCGTGCCGTGCCGTGCCGTGCCGTGCCGTGCCGTGCCGTGCCGTGCCGTGCCGTGCCGTGCCGTGCCGTGCCGTGCCGTGCCGTGCCGTGCCGTGCCGTGCCGTGCCGTGCTGTGCCGTGCCGTGCCTGGGCCGTGCCGTGCTGTGCCTGTGCCGTGCCGTGCCGTGCCGTGCTTTGCCGTGCCGTGCCTGTGCCGTGCCGTGCTGTGCCTGTGCCGTGCCGTGCCGTGCCGTGCCGTGCTGTGCCGGCCGTGCCGCCTCCAACCCTCGGGAGCAGCCTGCGAGCTCTGGGCTGCCTTTAGCAGAGCTCCGAGCACACCGCGTTGAGCTGCGCGTGTGAAATCTTCCAAGTTCTTTGTGCGTGTGTTTAATTTTCAGTGCGGCCACCAATGCGCCCTTAAGGACCAAAGCAGCGAACCGAACTCAACGCGTGACAAAGCAGAGGGGCCGTGAGGCGGATTGCGCTGTGGTTTCGTGCTGCGCTGGGTTTGCCAGGCACGGTTGCCAATAGCAGCTGGGAGCAGCGCTGCTTGCATTGCATGCAGCTGCTTCCCTGCAGCCAGACCGACAGGCAGGCGGGTGCAAGGTGCCCTGGTGTATCGGCCCGTCTCTGAGGAAAGGGCTTATTTGCATATTCTTAATTTAGTTGTAGTCTGGAGCTGTTCCTTGCCTCACTACGCTCACTCTGATTATATCTGAAAGACCTGGCATCAGTGGTTTGTTGTACATCCCTGATGTTCTGTTCCTATTGGGTAGTAGTGTAAAGGGACAAAATGTAAACATTTTGGTTATTATATTTTTTAACATATTTTTATTATATTTTATGAAAGCTTGTATTTTAAAAGACGAATATGTATTTCTACATGCAGTGTTTAGTTTTAAAACCCACAAACCTGTAAGGGACTTCGTAATTGCAAGCAGGTAATACTGGTAACAGTGAAGTTACTGAGATAGCAAGAATAGTGTCTTCAAATGTCTTGGTAATTTTCAGATCTTCTAATGAGTTTGTTTTTGTGGTTTTAGACCAAATGACAGTGCAATGGCCAAATGGTTTTAGGAATTAGAGCACTTTAATCATGGATATGTGCAATTTATGAATTGTGCAGCTTCTCTGTCCCACAGAACCTCAAGTGCAGGGGCAGGGTTGGTGTAGCACTGCAGCCATGCTATGCACAGTCCTCATGCATTGCCCTGGCGTGTCCTGTGCTGTCTTCCCAAGTGCCACTGTGCAGTGTAGGGTTGGGTAGAGAGCTTGTTCAGATTGCCATGGCACCTGAAGCTGGCTCTGCTGAGCACTAGCACTTGCAGTCTGCTCTCCCTGAAGGTTCTTGACACCTTTGCAGTGTTCACAGTGGCTTTTCAAGCCACAAATACTCCTGTTATAATAACCAAGCTACTGCCTTATTGCATAGGGTTGCATTTGCTATCACTGTTGTCAGGTAAGCCTCACTTAAGTGAACTGCTGTAGACACAGGCTTCTTTCCTTGTATTTTTAATAATAGCCACAGTGGAAGTGACAACAGTTGAGGCCATTTTGCCCCTGAGATTTATGTCTTAGTAGCAGCATCATATATATGCTAATTGTGCAGACATGGGGAGAGAGCAGTACTCCTGCTGCCAGTCCCTGCATGTTTGCAAAGTGTTTTGGCAGTGCTCTGTCACTACTTCAGTGCAAACCTTGGAAGGGAGGGTGGTTGTGCCCCAGGAAGCCACTGGAGTGCAGAGTAGCACCAAGAAAGGTGCAGAAACACACAGTGTTGCAGCAGGATGCAAACATGCTTTTGAGATGGTGCAGATGTTTGATTCTGCAATCTGTATTACAGTTTATTTTTAATGCAGTAGTTGGGGGATCATTTAAAATAAATGTGTGTAAATGGAGAAGTAAGTTGTGCTTGCCTTCTTCATTTTGGCTGCTGTTTCATTCTGTTGGAGTTTTCTTCTTTTGTTTGATTTCTGTCTACTACTTTGAAGCATTAAGATTATAACTAGTTTTTCTACTGGTTGCAAAGTAAACTTTGTCAAATTAACATTGACATATGTTTGGTTTTGCCCTAAGGCTGCTCAGGGGAATAATGGTCTTATATTTTGAGGGAAAATCTACAATACATTCATTCCACTGTTCAAGTGGAGCAATAATTTCCACTGTAATTCAGTGATAATTTTCTGCTGAATGTTAATCTTATTATGATGAACCTGAATGACCAATGGAATTGACTGTTTAATGCTAAATACTCATACCAGGTATGAGACATACCTTCAAGATTCATTGTCCACTAATAATGGGCTTTTCAAAATTATGTTTCCAGTGTATAGAATAGTAAGTTTTGCTTAAAATTGTTGTACTTTTTATGGTCTAAGTTTGCTAAGTGGCCCTACACTGTGCATCTCCAGAGCATTTACTGCTATTGGGAACTGCATTAGTGGCTTTTTAAAGGAACATCAATGTGTTCAGCTGCAGAATTTGCTGTTGTCAATCTTTCTTAGTACTTAAAGCATTGCAATGATACTACTTTTTATTAAATGTTATTGTGCTTGTGAATATTGTTATTTGAAGAGCTTGGATGCTCTTTTATATTTTGAAATAGTGCTTTTGTTGTCATCTATGGATATATTTTTATATTTAAAGCCTATCCTGACTAGAGTTGTCTTTATCTGCTTCCTTCCTTCCTTCCTGTCCAGCCTGCAGAGCAGTACAGCTGAATATGAGGAGATCTGCAGCTCCAAGTCAAGTCCTAGGAAATGCTGGCAAAAAGCCAAGGTTCATACCACCAGGAAAATGTACTGCTGTTTGTCCCAAGAATGAAACTAAGGAGATGGACCAAGAAATTAAGTTAAAGGAGGTAAACTGAACAGTGCACTAACAAGTATTTGGTACAGTATTGTGATTAAAAGATAACATCTGAGCTCACCACAAACAATCTCTGCTTAAAAAAATTCTATTCAGAAAAAATTTTGACAGCTTTGCAGTCAGTACCTTTGACTTTGCTTCTCAGGTTAGGCTTCTCTTACTGTGGAGTGGTTGCAGAAAAATGTTTTTCAAAAAAATAAAATTAATCAGTATTGAGCCCAAATGCAATTCTCAAGTGTAAATGAGGTGGGGACTGCATCTTGGCATGGGCTTTATTGGATTTTTTTTTTTTTGTAAAAGCAGTTAAAAAGCTAGGATACTTGTCATAAAGTCTCAGTATGCTGAGTTGCAGTTCTGCTGCAAAGGGATTTTGTCTGAAACCTTTAATATTGACACACAAAAGCAGCACAATTTTTATTTATCTACAGAAGACTTGTATTAAATTAATAAACTATTTACACAAGTGTTTGGTATTGTGTGCACACACGTGTTGTTGTGATGCATACAGTTTTGCAGAGATGTACAGATATATATAACTATTTGATAATGACAATTAATATGTCTTGAAATGTCTTGTTGCTCTTTTCTCTATTTCTCTTCACCTGCATGCAGGAAATTCTATTGTGAACCAATTTCTCTTTTGCAGATAGATGAGAAAGAGGGAGGTGCTTCATTGCTACCTAAAATAAATATCCAGAATCAAAATGAAAATTGTACACAGTCTGTGGAGTCAACTGGAAAAGTAAAGACAAAAGCATGTTTCAGCATTGACAAGTGTAGCAAGGCAGAAAAGAAAACGCTAAATGTGCCCAAAACTGGTAAGATGCTCTTTCTTTTTTACTACCATGTATCATAACAGAATTTTAAAGCTTATGAATGATAGACTGCATATACTAAACTTTTGTGAAGTACTATTATAAGCGTTGTGCAGTGGTGGCATTATTTGGTGTTATACTGGATAGAGTGAAGGAAACAAGCGTTAGACAAATTTTTTAATTAAAAAGGAAAGAACCACGCTGTTCTGGAAGCTAGTTGGTAGTGTTGGTATCCAGGGTTGTGTCTTCTAGAGGAGCCTTGTAGTCAATTCATTCTAATCTACAGTTGGTGCAATATAAGAATTGTAATACCGTAAATAGTGGGGAAGTTGTAATTTGGAGACCTTTCTGACCTCATGCAGAGAAAGCTAACCATTCTGAATGGATTCAGGTTTTTTTTCAGAATTAATGAGGTTTTCTTTAGTGTCTCCAGTGGACACTTAAGGTTTAAACCAACATTAGCCACAGAGCAGAACTGGCTTTGCTCATTTGTGGGTGTGCACTTCATCAGCTGTGCCCTGGTAATGAATGCCTCCAAAAAACCAGGATAGCACGCACTGCAAAGAAATTGAAGTGCCTGAACTATAGCAAGTGCACTTGGATGGACCTGAACAACATTGTGGGGTTGAGTGCCTTCATTTCCCAGTATTGGTGTGCCCTGACCACAGATGCAGCACAG